CTCCCCTTGCAAAAGACCGGGTGCGAGGCCCGTGGGGGGCACATCACTTGAAAAGCACGGATGGGTACCCGTCGGGGGGGGATCGACACCAACAGCAGTAACAGCAATCACGCGAAGTCTCTTCGCTTTTTTATCTGCTCGCGTGCCGTTCAATACGTATAACGCAAACCTTCGATACCAACCCCCTTCGTCTTCGATCGCACCCCCCGTGGAGTACATCGTCGCTACCTGCCGCGTGGAGTTGGCGCAGCCCCTAAAAACAGGAGAAGAAAGGGAGGAGGGAAGATACAAGGGGGAGGGTGGAGGATGGAGCACGAGAGAGATTTGCAAGAGGAGGGTAAGGACCAGGAGTACAAGCGGCAGAACCAAGGGGGCAAGTCGGGCGGGTGAACCCTAACGGGCAGGTCGAGCAGGCGAGTCGCTGAAGCGTCATTACATCATGGAAGAAGTTTCGAGCGGTAACGCGATTCCCAAGTAAATCGCGAGGAAGCCCACAGAGAGAGCGTGATTCCTGAGAATTGGGGCCACGGTACCGCAACAACTTGTGAGGAAGTACCACGCGAGAGCTCGATTCCTGCACAAAGTTTGACGAAGACCAGCAAAAAAGCGCGAATTTGAAATGCAGTGTGAGGGTGTATCAAGCGGGAGCCGTTGTTGCTGTAACCCAGGGGCCAGGGGCACAATTTGAGGAACAAGACTTTCCCTGGTAAAAAACTCGATGCGAGCCCCTGGAGGAGCACCATACATTGAAAAAGCACAGTGTGCACCAGACAGGGGGGATCAAATCTTCTTTAGAAATGAGAAATCAACAATCATTTGAAGACCGTTCGCTCTTATCTGCTCGCGTGTCAGTCAGCACGTAGTAAGTCGCAAACCCTCGATACCCGCCCTCTTCGTCTTTGATCGTACCCCCCTTGGGTGCAAATCTTTCTTAATTACCTGCAACGTGTAGTTGGCGCAGCCCCTCAAAACAGGGAGAGGGAGGAAGGAAGGGACAAGGGGGAGGGAGAATAAGGCACGAGAGGAGATTAGCACGAAGCGGCAGAACCAGACGGGCGGGTCGGGCGTGCGGACCCTAACGGGCAGGTCGAGCGGGCGGGACCAGACGGCCAGGTCGAGCGGGCGGGTCGCTGAAGCGTAAATCCTGCATGAATCGCGAGGAAGTCTCGAGCAATGGCGCGACTCCCAAGTAAATCGTGAGCGGGCCCAGAGCGAGAGCGTGAGACTTGAGTGTCGAGGGCGCGGCGTCTCAACAAGTGGCGCGCATGCCCTGGCTCGTGCACGAGGGAACGGCGAGGAAAAGAAGAAGCGTGGGGGCCAGGCACGAGGAAGGCAGGGAGGTCCAAAATGATCAGGGGGGCGAACGATAACGACGACGACGAAAATAAGGGGCTCCGCGCCACAGGACCAGGCCGGAAAGGCCGGGAGCCATGGGCCACGAGGTCAGGGAGGTCCGAAATGGCCAGGGAGGCGGACGACGCCGAACGACGCTCCGCCCAGGAGCCAGGGACGACCACGGCCACGGCCGCAAAAATGGGAGGGCTCCGAGCTCTAAGACACGGCTGTGCCAAATAATAAGAATTCCGCTGCCCAAGGGGTGGCGGGGCCCAGAGGGGCCAGGGGTGGGCTCCTGCGGACCACAAGGGAGGCGGCCCGGAAAGGCCAGGGGCCAGGGGGGGCGAGCGGCCAGGGTCGGCTCCACGGCCCAGAACGGACGACGCCAGCGAGGCCCCGGGGGGGAGGACGGACGACAGCGAGAATGAAGAATTCAGCGGCCCAGGGCGGGGGCGGGGCCCACCAGGGGCCAGGGGCGGACCCCGCGGCCCAGAGCAAACGAGGCCGGGGAGGGCCCAGGGGGAGTACGAACACCAACAGAAAGTAAAGGGCTCCGCGACCCAGAGTAGGTGGGGGGGGTGCGGAGCCAGGGGTGGGCTCCGCAGCCCAGGGGGGAGGCGGCCCAGCCAAAGGGCGGGCTCCGCGGCCCAGCGGTGCAGAACGGATGAGGCCAGCGAGGCCCAGAGGGGAGGACGAACGACAACGAGCATACAGGGTTCCGCGGCCCAGGGGCGGGGGCGGGGCCCAGGGGGGGGGGGGGCCAGGGGGAGGGCTCCACGTCCCAGAACGGACGAGGCCAGGGAGGCCCAGGGGGGAGGACGAACGACAACGAAAATACAGAGGTCGGGGCTCTAGAACATCACTGCGCCAGGGAACGAATTGCGGGGCATCCCATGCCAGAGCGCGATCCCTGGATACAATGTGAGGAAGCCCCGCGCGAGAGCAAGGTTGTGAAGAACGTATGAAGAAATGTCAGGCGGGAGCCGTTGTGGTTGTAGTTCGGGGGCCAGGGGCCCAATCTGAGGCTCGAGACTTTCCCTTGTAAAGAGAGCCGGGTGCAAGACCCAGCAGGGGCACTTCAATTGAAAAACACCATGGGCACCGGGGGGATCAATACTACTCACTCTTTAGAAAAAGAATTCAACAACAAGAGCATCATCATCATCATCATCATCATCATCATCATCATCATCATCATCATCATCATCATCATCATCATCATCATCATCACCATCATCATCATCATCATCATCATCATCATCATCATCATCATCATCACCATCATCATCAGCAGCAGCAGCATCAGTAGCATCATCAGCAGCAGCATCGTCCTTGTCCTCGTCCTCCTCCTTCTCCTCATCCTGCCTTTCATCCCTCTCCTCCTCGTCATTATCGTCCTCTGCCTCCTTCTCCTCCTCATCATCATCAGCAGCAGCATAATAATCATCATCATTATCATCATCATCATCATCATCAGCATCAGCATCAGCATCAGCATCATCAGCATCATCATCATCGTCCTCCTCAGCAGCAGCTGCATCACTCCCTACTATGCACCTGAGGTCGTCCAGCTTCCACGCATCTCGGACCGTCATCCAGTCGTTCCCGAGGAAGCTCCAAGAATCCGTCGACCAGACCGGTGGGTCGATGTCCTTCCACCCTCCGTCCTCGAAGACTTTGTTCTCCTGTAAGCGGTGTTCGAAATGGCGATCCAAAATTGGCTAGACCATAAGAGTCCTCCAGTCTTCTGCTAGCACGAGAAGATGCTGCGGTCCCAAAGCCGTGCCTTTCACCGGCCACCGCTCCGATGGCGTCGATGACTCCCGCGCTGTGCCTCCACTGCTACTCCGGCATCCTGCTTGCTCAATTGCGCGCTTGCTTGATTACGTGCTTGCTGGCTTCACTGCTGGTGTGCTCGCTCGCTTGCTGGCATGCTTTCTTTACTTGCTGGCTCGCTTGCTGGCTTGGTTGTCTGCCTGTATGCTGGCGCGGTGGCATGCTACTTGCGTGCTTGCTGGCTGGCATACCTGATTGCCTGTTTACTTGCGAGTTATGTCTGGCTTGTTGACCTGCTTACGTGCTGGTTTGTTCTCATGGTCGCTTGCTTTTGTACTCCCTTGCTGCCTTGCTGGTCTGCTGGCTTGCTGGCAAGCTAATGGTATTGCGCGCCTGCTTGTTTGCATCTCTGTTTGTTTGCTTGATGGCCTGCTCGCTGGCTTGCCTCATTGCTTGCCTATTCCCTGCAGAGGCGGGACAAGGCATGGCAGAGCAGGACAGAGAAGTACAAGCACGACTTCTCTTCGTGATCTCACGACTTTTGGGCTCACGCGAACACAGATCCACGGATAGGGGACAATACCCCAGAAAACCTGAAGCCAATGCTGCCAATTCTAGCCACTGAGCGCGTCGGCTTCGGAAGGAAACGGAACCCAACGATGATCCACGCGCCGCAATACATGTTTGCGTTTACTCGATCCTTCCCCCCCTCCCTCCCCAACCCACACTTAGCCCGACGTGCGCACTTCTTCCCCCATCGCTTGCCTCAAATTCAACTCGGTTTGTGCGCAGGACGGCTTACAGCTTTTGTGGAGGAGCAGGTGGACGACGACGATGGCGATGACGACGAGGGCGAAGAGAAGGAGGTCGAGGAGAGCACGCATCGCATGCGTGAGGGAATGAAGACGCCAACTGTCCACCTGCGCCGATCCTGGCAGACCCACTCCTGAGCCTCCAGCTCCAGCCAGGAAGACGCCTGCGTCGATCCTGGGCCGAAGGGGGCCCTGGCGAGGCTCGGCGTAGGTGGACAGCTGGCATTCCCCAATCTCCTGCTTGTAAGGATTCAGAGGCCAATACGCCCAGTCCACGTCGGTGGAGGACATGTATCTTAGCGTCTTGAGCCAGAAGTCAGAGCGGACCGAGGAACCGAACTCGCTTACCCAGACAGGGGCTGTGTAGTCGTTCCCCCTGACTAGCACGAAACCCCAGGTGTCATCCATGTGCCGCCTGAAATACTCATACGTGTCAAGAAGCCCTGTGCCAAAATACGCCGTGAGAGCAAGAACACCTATGACGACCAAACCCGCAAATAGCTGCAGACCAAAGTGCAGGGCCAGATCGAAATCCACAGGATGCATCTTGCGCTTATCATGGCTCTTGAACGCCAATCTCAGAGACGCGAACCTGCCCATCAGCGGCCTCTGCGCAGGCTCATCAATGTCACCCTCCTCACTGCTGTCGGGCTCGCTTGCAGATTCGCCTAAGTCGTTGACGCCTATGCGCTGCGCCCGGGATCTTCTGAAGCACCCATAGCCCAGCAGCATGAACCCGAAGACCAACCAGACCAAAGAGATGACTATGTTTGGCAGCACATCATGTCTGGCCACGTAGGCGCAGGCCGCGATGCCCATGAGGTTGGCATAAAGAAATATAAGATACCCGAGGCTTCCCAAGGCCAATATCGTCAGCCACGTCCCACAGGAAATCATGATAGTTCCAGTGGGTGGCTGGGGATTCCCAAGCCGACACCAAAACCAAAACAAAAAAGCAGCGAACGACAAATTGAAGATGACAACAAAACGAGATACGTGCTTCGCCCAATGCAGCGACATGACCTCCGTGATTGCAGAGAACATCTGGAAAAAGTAATACATATGCACCGAATACACCTGGAGGCACGAGAAACTACAAAAGCATTTGAGCGGCTTCGTGGGCCCCAAGCAGTGAGTCTTGTACTCCAGATGTGCTCTCTTTCTGGCGCAGTCTATGCGGTGAAATGAGGTTTGACCATCTTGAAGTCGTAACCTCCACTGATCGTGCAAACATCCCACCCTCCCCCCTGGAACTTGTCGAAAAGAAAACCTATCTGCTCATGACCTCATCGAAGGGACGGGCGTGTGTAACTCAACCACGCAAACAAGCCCGTCCTGCACGTGGCAAAGCTGTGATGGCCATGGCGACGACCGCGACGCCAACGACGATGGCTACGACAGTGGTGCTGACGCTGGATGGCGACGACAGTAACGATGAGGACGAGACGACGTCGACGACGACGATGATGATGATATAATGAGACTGACGGGGAAACAGTGACGCTGGCGATGATGATTACGATTGTGTTGGTGATTGTTGATGACGCGGACGATGATGATGACGGTTGCGCCGATGAAGATGATGAGAAAATGCGCGCCCGCACATCCTGACATGTCTGTTCCCCAAACAGTGTTTGCACTTAGGGGTTCGCACTTGTTTTCTAACTGGGCCTGTCTGCCAGTCTGGCAGCTCCGTGCCCGCCTTCAGCGCCCCGTCACCGTCTCGTCGCCGCCTGTTGCCTGGGCCTGTCTGCCAGTATGGCGGCTCTGGGCCCGCCGTCGCCGCCCCGTCGCTGCCTCGTCGGCGCCCGTCGTGTGGGCCTGTGTGCCGGTCTGGCGGCCCTGTGCTCGCCGTCGCCGCCCCGTCGCCGCCTCGTCAGCGCGACAAGGACTGCGCCACATCGAATGCACCACATAGACTGCACCATACAGATCGCACACAACAGATTGCACGACTTGGACGGCACCGCGTACACTCTCCTTTTCAAAGAAGAATAGTTTCGACACCCCCTGTTGGAGTCAAAGGTCCACCTTTTCGTATTGCAACTTAGATATGATCCAGCCCCATCGTCCATCAAAAATATGAACTCGTACCATCTCATGCAGACCGGTACCGACAGCCCCCGCCATCCTCTGCAACAGAAACACCACGCGAATTAAAAATCATCAGTTCTAACAAATCCCTTGGAAAGGAGAGGGGGGCTGCAGAAAAACAGAACAATACACACGCGCGCGTCGTCGCGCGCGCATGCTGGAATCCTTCACAACCCTGAAGTGTCGAAAAGATTCGAAATTCGAACGTCAAGAAAATATGTTTCTATTATGATACTAACGGTAACGGTAATGATAATAATAATAAGAGTAATAATCATAATCATAATCATAATCATAGTCATAACACTACTAATAATGATAATAATAAGAATAAAAGGGTTTCACAACATCATGCCTCCAAAACAAAGCCTACGCTCGCGGACTTGCGAATTTCCATAACAAAATACTTGTGTTCAGCATGTTCGCAAAAGTTCTCCACATTGGACTTTAGCGCGCGCGTGTCGACACCGTTCGGACGCCTTGTTTGCGCGCGTGCTGTCGCAAGAACCCATTGCAAAAAAAAACGAGGTGCACACGCGCGAGTCGCCGCGGGTGCATGCCGGAATCCTTTGGGAGAAAAACGTTGGTTTCGCAAGGATGTCAAAATCGAGTGTCCCGAAAGCACATGATTATCTTTTTTCTTGTTGCACAATCAAAAAAAACAACAAGTTTCAAAAAAGCTTGCGCTCGCGACTGTGCGAACTCTTTGTTGTTTTGTATTTCGCCACAAGAGAAAACTCTTTCCCAACATGTTCATCCAATTCTGGCAGAAAGGCCTCTCGCGCCGCATGTCGAACCCATTCGAACGCATTTGCGCGCGCCCTTGGGGGGTCACGATCCGTGTCGACTAATACCACGCGGCCGAATCGCGCGCGTCGGCCGCGCGCGCATGTCGAACTCCTCCAAAAACGTCCATTACCGACGCGAGGACATCGTCATCGGCATCGGCGGGCGTGATCAACATGGGCGCCGTCATTGGCTTGCCGTCGTCATCGCCACCATCGTCACCAACGCTATTCTCACAATCGTGTCTACCGTTGTCGGCGTCGCCATGATACCGCGCCCGCCTAAGTCAACGATTCGCACTGAAGTGCCCGCTGGGAAGTGCCCAGCGGTCACCGCCACCGCGGCCGCGTCGGCCGCGCGAAACTAGCTGGCCGCTGTGCGCGCGAGCATGCGCGGGCTAGCGCAGCAGCAGAGATGCACCAGCCAACGGCAAGCACTCATTACAATCGCCGCCGCATGGGTTTTTCAAACCAAATTGCGGGTGGATGGGCGGGATGTTTTTGCAAGAGCACGGTTGTAAGAATCAATCGAACAACGCAAAGGAACAATAGGATATTCATCCCCCTCCTCTGGACCTAACCACTCCCATTTTCGTATTGCAATATACACACGATCCGGCCCCATCGTCCATCCTGAAAATCAACTCGTAACCCCAACCAGACACTTCTCGCCCCGCACCCCCTCCTCCATCCTTTGCAAGGAAGAATATGCGCGCACTCGCGCAACAAAGGTTATCATATTTTCAACTATATGTTGCGACCAAAAAAACTATACGAAGTGCAAACGCGCGCGTCGTCACACTTGCCTGTCGAAGTTCGTCAAACGCCGAACGTATCGCAAGGATTTCATAGTCGAGCGCCCCGGGAACATGCAAAAAAAGTATGGCTTCGCAAGAATGATTATCAAAAAGAGCTTGCGCTCCAGTTCTTGCGACTTCGTAAAAGCAATAAGTATTCAATATGTTCATGACATGCTACCAGACGGGCCTTGCGCACGCGCATGTCAGAATTGCAAGAACGCCTTTTGTGCGCGCGCTGTCGCAAAAGTCCTCGCCCCCCCCCAAAAAAAAAACTGAACGAAGCACACGCGCGCGTCGTCGCGCGCGCATGCCCGAATCCTTCACAAACTGGAGGTGTCGTAGAGATTTCAAGATCGAGTGTCCCAAGAAAGGAAACATTGTTTTGAAGCATCAGTTTTGAAAATACGCCTGCGCTCGCGGTCTGGCGAAATCGTAAGAACACCATCGTTTCTTCAAGATGTTCCTGAAGTTCGCCAAACGGACCTCCCGCACCGCATTAGAAATCATTCGAAAGCCCTCGCGCGCGTGCTGGGGGGGGCACGACCCGTGTAGAATGAAACAATGCGGGCCATTCTCGCGCGTCGGACGCGCACGCATGTCGAACTCTTTCCAGAACCTTCATCACCGACGCGGGGGCGCCGTCATCGTCGACGGCGCGATCAGCATTGGCGCCGTCACTTGCCATGCCGTCGTCGTTGTCATCATCGTCACCAGCATTGCTACTATCATCATCGCGTCTGCCGTCGTCGACGTTGACATGATACTGCGCCCGCCAAAGTCGCCAACTCGCACTGAGGGCCCGCTGGGATGTGCCCAGCGGTCAGCGCCACCACGGCCGCGTCGGTCGCGCCAGACTAGCTGGCCGCTGTGCGCGCGAGCGTGCGCGCTAGCGCGGCCGCAGAGATGCACCAGCCAGCGCCGAGCAATCATCGCAATCGCCGAGGCATGGGTTTTGCAAACTAAATTGCGGGTGGGTGGGTGGGATGATTGAAGAGCAGCGGCAAATTGCACCGCAAATGTTGCTCCACGCAAAATGTTCCACATAGAACGTTCCACACAGAGGGAGCGCCACAGAAGTTACACAATTACACATCACAGATTGTACCAAAGATATTGCACCGCAGAGACCGCTAGAAACACGGTGCTTGCGGCCCACGCTGGCTCACACAGTGAGAAAGCACTGGGCATACGTGGGTGACTGAACGCCGCCGTGCTGAAATAGCTGGAAAACCAGCGGCCTGAAACGACTTCGACGTGCGCGCGGCGGCGGGCGCGCGCGTGCGGCCCCGCATGGTTATGACTCTGGAATGGCTGGTGGGCGCGCGATGCTGATGGACGTTGACGACATGCAGGCGCACATGGCCCGCATGGGTCTGGCTTCACAGGCTGTCTGAAAAACCGGTGGATACCCTCGTGGCTTCAGCAGAGGCGTGCGCGCAGACTCCTCTCACAAAACTGGTCGTTGGAAAGCCGATCGTCGTTGGGAGCATCTGACCAGACAGGTCGTGAAATCGTACTACAAGAACATGTGGTTGACGGACTTTGACATGCACGCGCGGCACCGCGCGCATGCTCCCCGCAATGCATATGTCGCAAGAGGTTCTCAGCAAACGCACTTCTCATATCAATGCATGCGCACGGCATGGCATCACTTAACAGGGATGAGGGGGTGGGTTCGATAACGGGATCGCTTGAGATGATACGATTTCGCATGAACAATGGACGATGAGGCAGCGAATTGACAAATGATAAGGCAAACGGAAAGCTCCAGCCTCGAGAGGGGGTGGACTCCATTACCTTTCTTGGGAACGATGAAGTCGCCAAATCGGATGTCATGACAAGCGTTGCACCATCCCAGCCGCAACGTGTTGGCAAAATCCAACTGGCACAATAACGCGAGGACGCTTCTCATGGAGATCCATGACTTCGGCGGGCGGGTGATGATGACGACATCGGCGTCGAAGACGACAGCGACGGTGAGAATGATGATGATGATGAAGATGATGACGATGGTGGTGGTGATGATGATAACGATGACGATCACGATGATGATAATGATGATGATGATGATGATAATGGTGATGGTGATGATGATGATGATGGTGGTACTGATGATGATGGTACTGATGATGGTGCTGATCGCACTCCCCTGAGCGCGCCAGAGAGGGGGGCAGTTCAGCTGCCCTCTGCCGCGGGCCTCCTGATGAGCAGGCTCCGCACGCCGCGCCCCTTCTTGGCAATGTGGCGGGCACGCGCGCGCAGGAGAGGCAGCAGGCATTCGGGCCCGTACCTGTGCGAGCTCCTCAAGGAGTTAAAGGTAGAAAAAGCAGGTCGTGGACAAGAAACAAAGAGAACAGCTGCTGACTAGACTGGCATGGCATAGTGCACAGCATACGCG